TCTGCCGGGCTAAAATGCTGTGGAGGTGGGCTCACAGAGCAGCTGCTGTTCACTCAGGACAAAAACAGTATAAGCCAGGCGATGAGAAGAGTATTGAATTTATTAGCCTCCTGGACCGTGGCTCCTCTAGGGAGGAACAAAATCCAGTTCCTTAAAAAAATGGATTTAAACATGGCAGCTGGTGATATTTTTAGGTGTGTATTTACAAAGCTGCCACAAATATATCGCCCTGCTATGAAAGTCTTTCTATTATTTCTCCAACAAATTAACACAAACTCAAAAGGCCGACTTGTGCAGGGTCCCTGGGAGGATAAGTGTGCTACGATGGCTTCCAAGGGGACTCAGTTCTGGGCCTTGGGGACCCTCTCCCCATTTTGCCCCTGACATCATATCCCCTAAGACACTGGTCAGAACCTGTTCATCAGATAGATAACTGCATATACTGGAAGGCTTGGAGGGCAGGGCTGAAAATGCAACAAAATTTCTTCAGCTAGAGAGTGCCATGAAGTTTCTGAGTCACCAGAGAACTCGGAACAAAAGGAAATTACCAGAGTAGAACATGTTTAAAACACATGCACAAAATGACTCTGGATTGGGATATACTGTTCCCTAAGGAGGAAAAAAATAGATTGTGACCAAGATTAATCATGCATCTTCTCCTCTAATTTCCTGTATTGGGAGTTGAAAGCCAAGAACTGTGGTTGAACTTGCATCCCACGACTTCAGAGACGAGCCAAATTTCCTTGCCTCACTCTGCCTCAGCCCGGAGGGCTCTCCAAGGAGCAGGGCCAAGCCCCTCATGCCTGGAGCGCCTCGTGTAGAGCCTGGCGCTTTCGTTTCCTTTTTGGTCTTTGCTGACTGTGGAAGCGCCACAAATTTTTGTTTTATCTCATATTTTTGTACTCCTTTATTGCTGCTGTGCATTTTAAATGCAATCTTTCCATTTAGATATATTTCACTGAAGATGATTAAATATCATTCATACAAGGAATTATCTTTCCAGATATCCCAAAATCATCCTTTTCAGGTTTTAAGCTATGTTCACTCCCAAGGAAACTTTTAAAATAATTTATTCACTCATATTTCTCAGTAAGCTTCCTTCCCTTCACTGCTTGTTCCACGTTAACAGAGAAAGTGTGAGGGTGATGATCTACATGCTGTTAAAGAGCACCCCCTCCCCAGAAACCTCCGAAGAGCATTGTCCAGCATTTTGTCAATTTTTAATGAATCATAAGGTGGAATTATCTAGGACCATCTAACTAACCCTGCTGGTTGCCTCTGCTTAGATACTGAGAAATATGAAATGCCCTTCATATTAACAGTCCTCCTTTCTTCCCTGGGTCTCTAGGGACAAGGCAGAAATGAATTCTCTGGGAGAATTGTCAGGTATGTGTTTCTGCCTTGTGTTTTGTTTTAGTTTTCTCTCCATTCTCTAAATGTTTCCTTTAAAACAGTACCTCCCTTCCTTTTAAGAAACTCGGTTTCCCTGACTTTCCCTTTTTCTCTGTGTTCCTAATGGTCCTTGAAATAAAAATGGTTTGTTGAGTTTCCCAATTTGTACTCGGGACACCTACTCAATGATTCTTAAGAGAATAGCTGGTGACCCGTGGTTTTCTCTGTTGAGATAGAGTGCACACTTTGCACCCTGGCATCTAAACATAGGGGTAGATTTAAAACCAAAGACATACATGGTTAGATAATCATCTCCAGGATGGAATCACACATTCCTTTAAAGCAAAAACCTCAGTGTCTTCCATCACTTTGGTCTCATGGATGAGTTTGCCTTTATGGATGTGATACTGTATTATTAAAGGCTTAACCTCAAGTCAAATATTTCTGTTGAAGACTCTCCACTTTGCAAGTTTATTGCTCGCAAGAACCTAACACTCTAAATAATGACTTTTTTTTGGCTTCAAATTTTAGGTTTAACTTTTTAAACTTTCTTCTAAAGTTGTGAGGGCGGTTGTGATTGTTCCTTTACTACTATTTAAGTTTTATTTCCTTATTGGTGATTCTATGAGAATCGTATATGGTAATAATATCCACTTCATGTGGCATTTATGGACCAGAACCTTCCAAACAGTTCTTTGCATATCATGATCAGGCACATAGTTATTGAAGTCTTAGGAATAATACTTTCCTCTTCTCATATGTACATGACTAATTTTTTGATTTCTCAGTTTAGCGCTTCCTGGTTTAGGGTTGCTGTAGTTAATGTAGTTATTCAGTAACTTTTCTTTGAGTATAATTTTTCTTTGCAGAAATTAGCCCAGATATTTTATTATTGACATGGCTTTGACCTATGTCTTAGTATTTTGTGTTTCTAAAATAGTCCAGATAGTCCATTAATTCTACCAAACAACCAGCCATCTGATTGAAAAAAATCATCTGTCAAACTAGTTATCTGAACCATTAGATTGGGATTACGTTGCTGTATACTGTGTAATTAAATTGGGATTGTATTACATTGTATACTATGGATTCCAGGCATATCACTTGTCAATTAAGTTCTTGTCTCGTCTGGTAATTACTAGTTTGATGGATTATCATATTTATAATGGCCTAAGTTGCGTGTTTGAAGGGTGGCTGGGATCTAGAGGAAAAAGAGATGCTATTCCAGTAATATACCTACAAAAGTCAAACTTAATATGTGCGGTAATGCTATAGTATGGAGTTGAGGGGCACTAGGTGGGAAGTAGAAAAGCTGAGATCTGTCCAGCTCTGTCACCAGTTGTCTTCTCTAACCCGTCTCGGCTTAAGTTTCCTCATCTGTACAATGAGTGGATTGGGCTATAGTTCTGAGGCCTCTTCTAGCTCTGAAAAGTTAAGACTCTACCCTCAAATGGAGATCAGTTATCCCTTCCTGACTTTGGAAAATGGTGTAGATCATTAAACAACCTGTCTTCAGATTTCTGTGTCTCTTATCTTTAGTTTCAGGTTATAACTGTATTCAATCTCATGGCAGAAAACACTTTTTTTGTGAAATGAACTAGTACATCTTGCCATGAAACAAGATAAGTGATTAATTTGGTGTCATGAAATTAACTCATTTTGCTTGCTTTGTTCTTCATTATTTTAGTCAATAATTAGCTCCTAATTTCTCTAGGAACTGGTGCTCCACCCACACACTAATAATCTCTTGAGGATCTGGTTCCAGGGAAGAGAGTGATCTTCCCACTGTGAACGGGTTAATCTCTGTGATCCACTAGGGAGGTGATGGTCCCACTAGGAACCATTTGCCTGTCGAGTGTACACATCTGGATGACTCTTATTGGCCAATCAAATATACTGCTCTCAATTTTTCATTCACATCATTGGAAAGTGAGGAGCAGCCCTCTAGCAAGATGTTAACCAAGCAATAATGTAACAAAACTGGCTAACAGTACATTTATTATAGAACTGAATGCTCATTATTGTTTGTAAAGGATGCATTCATAGCCTCTGCAGAGTTATAGTTTATACATGGTTGATTCCCATTTACAAAGGCAGAAAATCCTTGTTTTCTTGTCAAGCTTTGACTTACAAAACTCCCATTTTCTTTTAGCTTGGGGTGTGCGTGTGTATCTGTGTGCATTTAAGAGAATGTTTAGCAATTAGATGGGGGAGAAGAGAAATAGAATTTGAAGTGTGAAAGAAGGAAAAATACATTCAGAAATCCTAAAAAACCAACAAACAAAACCAAAAACACTGAATTGGTCATGGGAATTCTTAACAGAAAAGACCCACACCATAAGCTTCTGTTTTTATGTACTTCCTCCAGGAGCAGAAGGGACTAGGAAGACTGGATTTTTCTAACAGAAGGAGTGTGAATCTGGAAATTCTTAAACTAAAATTGGTGTAATTTCATGCTGCAGGGAGGTATTTTGCTTATGCAATTGAAGTAAAAAATAAAGTGCCTACCTGGGTGTTTCTAGGATAATTGTAAGCAAATGAGACTAATTAGAAGCCTTGACAGTCTGTAATTAAAAGCTAGGAAGTAACTCACTCTGTGATAAAACATCCCTGGATATTTGGAAGAGGCAAACGGAAAGGACACAAAACCTCCTCGGGGGCTTTTACTCCCCCAAGGCCAAAGTCCCTGTTGTAGGGAGCACATTGTTATGGAAACGGGATAAATGGACCTAAAACTTGGTGCTCACAGACCTATCCCGTAAATACATATTTGGGACCATGACTATGGGCAATATTTCAGTACCAGTTGTACTTGGAAAATGTCATTTACTGGTAAATAGAATGGGAGCTTACATGGGGCCAGCCGAGGGGGTACGGCAGCCCCCTTACCTGCGTGGGATAAGCTCCAAGACCCTTAGTGGATGCCTGCAACCAAATCCTATGTGTTTTCTCTATACGTACATACCTTTTCACTTAAAGCAAGCACTTCACAGCTTCTCTTTGGCATATCCAAATGGCCAACAGCACTGCTCTTGTGCATCGGGGCCATTGGTGAATGAAATAGGGGCTCCTAGAACACACGCACTGCAGCACCGCGGCAGCTGATCTGGCAACGGAGCGGGCTAACGGGCAGGTAGCATCCACCCCGTGGGTCGGCTGGACAAAGGGGTGATTCGTGTTCTGAGCAGGACGGGGAGGGTGGCGTGAGACTTCATCACAATGCTCGGAACAGCACAGAATTGTAAACTGGTGGATTGCTTGTTTCTGGAATTTTCATTTAATATTTTGAGACCACAATTGACCATGGGTGACTGAAACCATAGAAAGGGAAACCACAGGTAAGGTGGGGGAGGTACTTGTACATTTAGTTGAAGCAAAAGGAAAAATTGTGGCACTTTGCTTAACTTTTGGGGACTTTTAAATGCTTACTTTTTCATGCCCCAAGGCCAGGCCCTTCATTTAGATCAGGTTATGACTGGGCTTGGGAGGAAGTGTGAAATCAGGGAGGGAAAAGGGATGCAATGGGGAAGGGAAGGAGCAGAGAACTTGACTTTGTTGAATGGAGAATATTGTACAAGATGAGCATGCCATATTTCCCCCCCAATCAATTTGATTGAAAAGCAAAAATACAACTTTATTAAACACAGTTCATTCCTAATTTGCCATGACAATATATAATACAGAAAAAAATAAGGCTACTTATCAATGTAAGCATTTCTAACATGAATCTTTGGCCAAAATGTAACCTGTAACAATTCAGACAGCATGTTCTTTCAACCGGGTTCAAAAGCCATGGCTCCGAAGTTTCCAAAAGTTTTAACATTTTCTTATATCTTCTCATGGTCAGGCATTCAGAGGTACAAGTTGGTTCTAATAGCTTTGGTAGAAACAGGCTGAAAATAGAAATGAATATAAAATACTTTAGGCTATTTGGTATGGATTTGTAAGGCGTGAGTAAACTGGTAAATTAGTAAATTTCTTAAAATAATACATATGAATGTAAGACATATAGGTAGAATAGCAGATGCAGCAAAAGAGGTTAGTATCGCTTTCCTCTATTTTGTAAAAGACATCAAGTAAGGCCACCAGTACAGGAACCGAGTGCCTCTTTAGTTTTCCTGTGATGATTTCCTGTCCGCTTCACGTTCGTGGGAGGGGCGGATGCAAGACAGGCTTTGACTTTGTTTCCAACGTGTCCGCGGCGGCGCCGGCTGCAACCCCGGCTCAGCGTGCTCGCAGAGTGTGCAACGTGGGTGCTTCTGGCTGGGAGGGCGGACGAGGCGGTCGGCTGGCTAGTGGGCTGTGCTAGGCGGGCTCACAGGGCGGAGACGAGCCCCGGTGTGAAGGGACTTCCTCTCTGGTCATGCCCTCCTTATTGTCTTGAACTTGGTCGCGGAATCTGGCTGCCATTCTCACCGGTCGATGGGGTGGAGGTGGGTCTCCAGCCACCTCAGATAATTGAGCAGCAGCCGGGACACTCGGCGCAGCGCTGCTTCTTCTTCTTGGGGTGGAAAATGGTGAGGATCGCTTCATCAAACACCGCTTTGAGACCTTTCTGAGTCAGGGCCGAGCATTCCAAGTAGCACTGCGCTCCGATCTTCAACACAAAAGAGACAGAGAGGCATGAGAGGAAAGACAGAGAGAAAAGCGCAGGGGTGTCAGCCCTCTGCCCAGCCAAGTGCCGCGGCTGCTTGTTCCACAAACAGTCTGGGGCTTGGTTTGGATTATGCTTTTTTTCTTTCGCATTTCATTTTCCTCTGCTATCCTGATTTTTTGTATTTTTATATATTTTTTATTTTCTGTCATTAACAATAGATGGTTCTGGATCCCTCTTGGTAAGCAATACATTCTGGAAGTGGTCCATAACTGTGTATTCCTAATATTAGAATATAAAAATTAATAGAGGATTCAAAAGGAGTGACATGGTTTCAATATATTTTGTGAACAACAGGGCAGCATGATGTTGGTTTTAGCATCCTCTCATTTGTGCATGGAGTGCATAAATTCGGTCCAAGTGAACTGTATCTACCCCTTTCCGTACATAGTGAGGCAAAGTGTCAACCTGGTTGATAAACATGGAAAGAGAGTGGGTGATACAGTTTTACAGGTTTTCTTGAATAAAATGCACTCGCAACAAGGTAATTCTCAGCAAGGTAATATCTAATTGATGTTATTATTTGGTTTTAAGATACTTTAAAAGGCATATTATTAAGCAGTTAATAAAACCCAAAGCATGTAAAAATAAAATTAGTAAAATGCCATTATTGACAGAGACATCCTTCTTGTCAGAAGGTGGTCTATGCATATTTAAGTGATAAAATAGTTTATGTTTGTTTAGGGCTTTATTCAAAGCTTTTAATGATTTCATACTATGGGATATTCAATAATCACAAAATCCCTATGAGAAATATGGAAATTCAGGCCAGAACTTTAGGTTCTCATTAGAAAAACAGGAGGGCAGAGCAGACCATGTTTCGCAGTCAGCTTCACGAGATAATTCACAAGAGGGAGACCCACAGTTGTAAGGGCTCACAAACTCAGTATGAGCCAACAGTTTGATGCAGGCCTTTTAATATTAAGGATGGATGAAGAAATGCTTCTATAATATGCTTCACATTATAAGAGTAACTTTGAAGAATTTAAGCAGGTTTAGAAGAGAGTGGCTGGATGGCAAGCTCCTAGAAACCATAGCAGATAAATGACTAAATCAGGGTAGAAAAACCATGTGCCGGTAGCTAATGCAAATGAGAAAGAAGGGCTGGTGCCCAGCAACAGGGAGGGGTGGGAACCGCGGTGCGGTGTGGAGCACACGCGGCCTCCAGAGCAGGCCGTCTTTCTCGGCTTTGACAGTGGTCGCCATGCAGGAATGTTGGTTCACTGCTGCCCAGCTTTGAATTTTTCAAGAGGACTTGGACATTTGGATTTTTAGTTAATATCCCTAATTTTTAAAATGCTCTGTGGGCTAAGCAAAATGCCGATGTGGGATAGCTTGGCAGTAGCCAGCAGTTTGTAACGTGTGGACTAGAGAACTTTGTGGTTCTGCTTGGAACAGTGGAAGCCCCCGAAGGTAACAGGAATTGCTTAAGGACGTTCAAATGGAAAGTGAGGGAACTAGACCCAGAACCTGGTCTCTTTTCTGTGTGTCCTTTGCCTTGTTCTATGACAGCAACTGTGAGCTTTACAATTAGCTGCTCTGCAAGGAGCTGGCCAAGTAGACAATTAATGAAATGATGTTATCCACTCATTTGAAAGCCCATAGATATAAAAACTAAACATGAAATAAAATTGTTCTGTTTGGGGCCAGATACTATGCTTTTTTTTTTTTTTTTTTTTTTTTTGGTGTAAAGAATGGTTACTGTATGAGCCAAAGGAAAATACCCAAAGAAAAGATATTGGATCTTGAAGATCTATTTTATGGTTTTCATTTTGACTATGGCTTGAACTTTGAATTAGAACTTTTTAATTTTAAATAATGAAATACAGTTGGATGCAAGAGAGGGATAAAAGGTGGAAAAATTTTCCCCATAGTGTCATGAAATGTCATTTGTTACGTGTTGGGATTATATCCAATGCTCAATATGAACACATGTGAAAAGCACATTACTCTCGTGAATGTGTCAACTGAATGACTGCTTGTAACGTGCTAGCTCTTGTCAGTCAGCCTGCAAAAAATACCCAGAAAGTGCTGTGGAGCCATTCTATCCAGGATCCCTCTCCGCTAATGATCACAAGCCTCAGTAGATTCTGGAAATTACAGGAGAGCTGGGCTGAGCTCCGCTCATCTGTGGGGCTCGGTGCCATCTGGTCGCACAGGATGGGCCCAGTGCACTCTCCGCTAGTCCTCCCCGCTCAGTGCTGCTGACACCGTGTCACAAGTTGCCTTTTGATGGTGTAGGAGGAGCCCAAACTTGTCTTTCCCAATTCAGACATTTTTGAAGACCATGAAATAGTAGGTCAAGGAGTTACTATGTAACTGGATTATTATAACATTGTTTTGTACTCATAGTTCCCAGGAAGAGTAGCATTCAGATTATGGGTGTGATGTGGGAAATGTGTGTGAGAAACAGAACCTGGTTGTAAGGCCAGTGTTGGTAACCATGTATCCAGTGCTCTGAGGGTCAGTGAGAAGAATTCATCCTGGTGCAGGGCAAAGGCAGAGCCATGTTACAGGGACTGCTAAAACAGACAAACAAGCAAACAAACAAACAAACAAACACCCCCTCCCAAATGCCCCCAAACAAAAAACCCATTTACACCCACAAATATGTAAGTGAAATGGAATACTGGCTCAAGGAAATAGCGCTTTTCTTACGGCAGCCAGTTCCTCTGCTCCGTGGAGCAAAGCGAGCTGCACAGCCATATACTTAGAACCAATCTGCAAGGGCTCAGCATTTTAGATCCTTGTTTGGGTACACATGTCAGCAATCTGGGGCATGCTTCACCAAAGTGATTTATTTAAAAAAGAGAGAGAGAGAGAGAGAGAGAGAGAGAGATTGAGGAATGTAAGCTGAGAAATCACTTTTCTAATAACTTTGTAATAATTAAAATTTTGAAATGAATGTGGGAGCCATATAGATTTAGTGAGTCAGGAGCAAAGAGTAAAATTATTTTTTTCTTTTTTTCCAGTTTTATTGAGAAAGAATTGACATACACCACTGTATGAGTTTAAGGTGTATGGCATGATGGTTTTACTTAAGATATACTGTGAAGTGATATTAGCAATGTGCCATTATTATTTGCTTGTTTTCTTGCTTATAAAATTGTTTATTATAGCAAATTGGTACAGACATAAAAAACAAGTCTTAATTTTCCTTAATCCTAGTATTTTACAAGGTTATCCTAATGTATACATTGTGTGCCCTTCTTTTTTCCATAAAAAGCTATATAAAATGATTTGCCCTTTCCTTAAAAAATATATATTGTCCCAAAGCTGAGAAATTTATCAGAGGTGTACAGAACATTTAAGTATCTGACAAGAGGAAATAAAAAACAAACAAACAAATCCATAGTGACTAAGCAAGTGGAAGAAAGCCTAGCACTTCCAGGTTGTCCTTGTAGAGGCGGGACAGCTTACAGAATAAGATAGTGCATAACTAGAAGGAATAGAGGCTAAGCGGTTTTTCCAGCTGCAGACATGTCTGAGGGGGCACACAGATTCAATAGCAAGTAGAGTTTGCTGAGCTAGGCCCCGTGTTACATTAGCTAATTTAATGGTCCACAAGAACCTCATGAAGTAAGTCTGTCACCATCCGCCTTTGCAGCTCAGAAAACTGATGCCCAGTGAGGTTAGGTAACCTCCCTCAGGCCACACAACTAGGAAGATGGCTGAGGTTTGAATTTGTCTGTCTCCAGAGCCAGAGTCTTAACCACGCTGTCGGGATGTCTCTAGCAAATGTAAAAAAATATGGCTGAAAGAGCAAAAGTGATAAACAAATGGAGAAGGAAAGGGAAAGTGAGGCATATCCTAAAAATGGAGAGGAGAGATGAGGTTAGTGGAATAAACAGAGAAAGCCAGGCTCTGAGGAAATGACTAATAGCAGGGAAGTTCTTTATTTCTTATTTAAGAATTAGAAAAGATACACAGAGAGGGCAACTTGAGAGTCAAGAAAAGGAAAAAATCGAATGGCTTGTGTGAGAAAATCCATCTCCACAAATCAGTATTATGATCACATTGCTGAAAGGGGAAAAGCGTTTCTAAGCTGGATAGATTTGCTGTTGATTTTTCCAAGGCTGTAGAGAGGAGACAGCCAGCTCAGGGCAGAGAGTGAGCGTGCATTGCGAGTGCAGGTAATAGGAAGTGCTGCGGATTGTGGCAAGCGGGAGGTTACACATCCTGTCTAAAGATGGTTTAAAACTTGTAGTTGATCTGAAAAATGCTGGCTAGTTTTGCCAGACCTGTTTTTTTTGGAAGCCAGAGATGTGTATCTTTATGTCAAGTTTCCAAACTGTTTAATGTGGGCCACTAACTTGCATTAAAAATACCTGTGCGGACTAATCAAAAGACTTGCAGGTTAAATTTGGCCCATCGTTTGCCAATGTGCTTCTTAGGCTTTAAAAATGCCTTTGCGTGCCCTGGCCCCCCCATTTGAAAATTTTCTCCCCAGTCTTCTAATTTTGTCTACCTGACACAAATCCTTTAAACCTGGCTCAGACGTTGACTGTTTTCCCCTGAATCCTTCTCCCCTGAATGTACCCAGAGAGGAATGTATCCTCTCTGGTACTTTGCACACATGTGTTGTATCTATTCAGTGGGCGAGCTTTTGTTTATCTCTCTCTTCTTTTCTAGCCTATGCAGGGCAGAGGGACTCCTCCCTCATCTCTGTAAATGCAGACCGCGTTGACGAAGTGACAGGTTTCAATGACAACAGGACAAAGAGGAAATGATTGGCATACGAAACAAGTCAGGAGGAGAGTGTTCAAGACTACAGTTGATGAACGTGATTGAACATTGATTACAGGATTTTTTGCAGCAATTTTGCTGCTTTAACCCCATCAGTTAAGTGTTATAAATCCAGCAAGAAACAGGTGGTAAAACAAAGAGCGAGAACAACAATAAATGTGGCACAAGGTGAAGAAGATGGCAGGAGAGGGCAAAAAGAGGCCCAGGACTGAAAAAAGACGAATAGTAAAGTGGTTTTTTCTTTATAAAGAAATACCTTAGGAAGTCTGAACTTAGCAAATCATGTTTCACTTGTAACAGATGGGATTGGAAAAGAGAAAGCACAAAGAATTACAATCTCAGAGCTAAAGTGTGGCAAAGTCCTGGCACATACTGGGTATTCGATCAATTATTGTTGAATAAATCTAGCAATAGGGACATACACTAATGAGCAACAAATGGGAAAAGTAGGCTGAAGATTAAAAAACACAATGATGAAAAAAGAGGGAGGATCAAACAAGCTCAGGGATAACGATGAATATTTATTATAAATTGATACAAAGTATCTATGTAAATGTGGTTGATTTTGGAGTATAAAAAGTTGTAAATATGTGTGCTATAAAGTTGTCCTGTAAAAATAAAATGCCATTTGAGAGCAAAAAAGAGATGATAGATGAAAAATGCTTTGGAAATGGAAAAGTACTGAACAAAAGGAATCAGATATGAAAATCTGGATTTGCGAAGTGTTTAAGTTATGGGGAGACTATGCACATTAAAATATGGGGCTCCAGCATATAAAAAAGAAGCCCCAAACCTAAGAGTTTCCTTTCAGATTATAATAGAAGGGACAGGAGAATGGGCGGTTAAATCTCAGCTCTGCTACCTTCCAGTGGCGTGATTTTAACTACACCGAGTCTCAGTTTTCTCTAGGAGAGTGGGGATAATAATATGCACACCTCAGGGGGTTGCTGTGAGGACTAATTAAGACAAGACATGTAAAGCACTTGGCACCAAGCCTAGCACTGCAAACACTCCATAAATGCCAACTGTTATAATAAACTCCTTGACAGGAAAGTCAGGGAGCGGAGAAACTTAAAGCATCTCTATAATTACACGAATTGTGATAAAACAAGTTAAACTCTTGCTTGGTTTTCTTCTAAATTGGATTTTGTAAGCTAAACACGATTCTCTCTGTATCTGAGAGCAGTTGCTAGGAGAAACTGGCAAAAGGCACTAAAGTGGCGAACTCAGCCATTGTTCCTAAAATAAGTATGAGATGAGATGGAAGGCTTTAGAACGACTTCTTCTCAGGAGGGAAAACCAACTTCCCAAATGAGAAGTCAGGCTAGGACGCTGATGGTGGTGGGAGATAGGCCAAAAGCAAGGGACGCGGAAACCACACTCCTGCAGAAAGCTGGTGCTGCGCGTCCGCGGCCTCCTGTTGTGGGGAACGCATAGCGGAGGATCACATACAATTATTTATGGAGCTATAGCTTTATGAACCTTAGTTCGTTCAAACTGGATGTCTGAGGAAAAGATTGAAGAAACTATAGATGTGTACCCATTTTACAGGAGGAGAAATAAAAATGGTTGGAGGAGACAGTTTACACAGTAGTCAAGTGCACAGGTGTGATGTCCACGCAGCTGGAACAGAATCGTTTATGTGATTATCAGCTGCATGACTCAAACGTGCTTATCTTTCTAAGACTCTGTTTCCTCATCTGCAAGATGAGACAAACACTGTCCGCTCAGGAGAGTTGTATCATGAGGCTGAAATGAGACAGAGCTTGTAAAGTGCATAGTATACTAAGCACTCCATGAAAGGCTCACACTGGTAGTTCTGACATTTCTACTCACAGATGTAGGGAGTATTTAGTTTCTCAAGTATTTGTAAGATGTTCTCATGTACCACACCCATAAAAACAATTTTATTGAATTGATGTCTATTCAAGCATATTGTACTTGGTTTTGGCATCTATAAGAAAGTTTTAATAGGAGGAATGTGTATGCTTTTGCTAATGAAGCATTTGTATTTAATTAATTTTTACTTACTGACTGATTTTAGAGAGAGAGGGAGGAAGGGAGAGGGGGAGACAGAGAGAAACACCGATTTCTTCTTCCACTTATTGACGCATTCATTGATTGTTTCTTGTATGTGTCCTGACCAAGGATTGAACCACAACCCTAGCATAGCAGGATGATGCTCTGACCAACAGACTACCTGGCCAGGGCCTTAATTTATTCTTGATCACTTTAAAAGGGTGACTCCTAACTCCTCTTAGGGCATGCATTTTGCAGGGTTAGTTACTTTAGAAAGTAAAAGAAATTTCTAAAACCTCTGGCCTAGGTTGATGGATTTTGGCTCAATCAACAAAGGGTGGATTCAGGTTATGAAAAGTGATGTGTAATCCTTCTCCTGCGTAAAGTACCTCATCCCCTTTGCCTATGTTTTGTGTCTGCTTTTGCACACATTTTGGTGGTAATTGGGAGACAAAGATTTGGTGTCTGGCAAATACAAAAAAGTATTTCCACCTTCCCCTCCCAAATCTCTATTCATATGAGGCTCTCAAGAATGAGAAAGTTCCATTGAAAACAATTCCATCTCTGAGCAAGTTGCTATTATCTGCAGCTTGGTTTCTCCAACTAGTTACCTTTTGGTCTATGTTATTCTCCTAGATGCTGTTTGTGACATAGCCAGCCTCTCTAAGTGGCAAAGCATTATGTGGTGAGAAATACTGAACAAATACAACCCTGCCAGGTGCTTTACCTAAGTTTCTCCCAGGAAAACCACGAAGTGCCTTTTATGGGGTCATTTAAATGAGTTACACTGATAATCAGCAGCGAGATTTACAAATACATATCCAATGACTCTGTTTATTCATAATAAATATGGCAAGTAGATAGTGTAGAGGTGGCTAAATCAAATGCTAAGTGCCTCGGCTGTTTGAAAGTCACCAAGTTTCTTTCTTAATGAGAAACAGATAATGCTGGCTTACAAGAACGTGAACCAAATGGTCCCTTCTGGCCTGATTGCAACAGCAGGGAGACTATGAGGCACAGAGAAGATTCTGAACACAACGCACTTCAAAAGCAAAAGCGTACGTAGCTCACGCATTCCAAGGCATACACCAAACTCTTCTCAGTGTACATTTAAAATGAAATCCATATCTAACCGTACCGCTTTTGCAAGCTTCACACCGTGCTCGTAAGTGAGAGGCTTCTCTTTCATATAGAGCAAACGGGCCAAGGTTTTGGGGTCGTCACGGAGATCAATCTGGCAAAAAACACACACGTGATAAGCTCATTCTTTTCAGGCATGACCGGTTATTTTAAATTGTGACATAATAGAGATTTCACCCCCTCCCCTCTTGACGTCTATGATGTTGCCAAATTTTCTTTGGGGAAACACATGCGCATGCTCATATTATGTCTAAAAGTTAATGCGGCTTCTTTGTAAATGTATACAGCAGGCTTTTCTTGACCTTTCCCCTTCAAAGCAGTTACCGTGGAAGCTGAGGGCCTTCTCCAATGATTCTGTGACAGTCTCAGATGTTTTTGTAATTTCCTATTCATTTCTAAAGCATTCTTATAGGGCGTACAAGGTCAGTCTTATTCCCTTACAGTGATGCTCACTTGATCCCAAATTATATTACTCATTTTTAATAGTTTATTCCCTGGTAAAACAGATATATTTTGGCTTTTCTAAACCAAACCTTTACCCGCAAAGGGATGAAGATTTGCCACCTGTGAGGAAGTTTTAACAAATGTGCTACAGGTTCTAAAGACAATTCCTAAAGAGGAGTTTCTGAAGGGTTTGCGTAGGGAATAAGCATTAATGTTTTCAAAGGCAGAACTACTCTGAATATAGCATGTATGTTTGGATTAGGTTTTATAATTTAATTAAATATTTTAGTTGCTTAAATCTCATTGTGTATGAAAACCCACGCATACATGGATGGGTGTGAATGTGGGTACATGCAGGCTTGTGCTTTAAAGGAAAACCAATATATTCATATATTAGGGTCCTGTTTATAAGCACATAGCGCAGCTTTACTAATCAGTAGCTTTTTTGTTTTTGGCTTTAATTGTTCAACTTAGTGTTTGAATCATATACAGATATTGGCATGTCCCATCCCATATTTTAGCAACAGGGTATCCGGGCTGCATCGATATGGTCAAACATTATTATCTGGAATCAAGGCAAAGGACTTCATTTAAACAAACAAACAATTAACTTTCAGAGCAGAATCATCAACTGTATTTTTATGTATAAATGTGTACATTTTCTTTCTTTCTTTTTAGGTTAAAAAAAAAAACCCCACATCTTTGTCAAGCAGAATGTACAATGAAGAATAGAAAGCAGCAGCCTATGAAACAGACAACAAAGCTCTTCAATATTTTTCATTTCTATGTCTTTGGGATAGTAATTTAGGTTTAACATAGCAAAGAGCAAAATCTATTTAAAACTATACAAATATACAAAGATGGAACAATATTTAAAATCTCTGTGCAACTGCTATTGGAAATTCAAACAATGGAATTTTATTAGCTTTCAAAACACTTTTAAAGGCTTTTACAGTTGCAGTTTTGTTTATGTGGCATATCTGTTTTCACTTTTGTTCTAAGATCTGGGAGACCAAGGGGCGTAAAGGGAATGGAGAAGAGAGAATTTCTGAATTCCTTCTCCGAGAGTGTTCCTAAGGAGTTCCTGTCACAATGTGACCGTTCTGACTGCCAGGGTCATTTTGACACTTGCACCTATTTTGTGGCTTTCAAACGATCATGGGTTTTAGATACAAAAAGAATATCAAGCGATAGGTGTAATTGACTTCCCCCTTCATTCCTCTGGCTCAGGGCTGCAGAAGGGTGCCTATTTCAAAAATTACTTTGTTATTTAAAAATACAAAGCCGAGAGATTACTTTGTAAAGGTCACATCAAAACTTTCTGCTTCACATAAATAGCTCTACTGTCTTTTTGGCTGTGGCCAAATAATCTCGTAGATCTTAAGAATGGGCTGTTTGGGAGATTGATATCTCTGAGATTCTCTTCCAGTGTTTGGTAGACTAGGATGTTCCAGAAATACCTAAGGGTCTTCCCGTTTTGCCACCCTCCCGCTCCGCCCACCCCCGTCCAGCCATTGCCGCCTTTTGTCTCACCTGTGTCCCTATGAGGACATAAGGCACGTGAGGCATGCAGTCCTTCAGCTCCGGGACCCATTCCTCCTGGACGTTGTGGTAAGAGGCGGGATTGACAACCGAGAAGCAGATCAAAAACACATCGGTGTTGGGGTAGGAGAGAGGCCTCAGCTGGTTGTAGTCCTCCTGTGGGAAAAGCAAAGAGTTTGTGCAGCCTGGGTGAGGTGGGTGCCCTGTGGACGAGGGAGTGACTGGGACAACATTCCGCTGTGACCCGCTGCTTCCCCTGCACTGGGGTCTGGTGCTTCCTTATCTTACTGGAAATAAAAGAGCCACTGGTTAGTACAACACCTTTGTGTTATATATGGGGATTATAGATTGCTCTCTTTTAAGACAAACTTTATTTTCTTCTTCTCTTTTTTTCCTCTTAAGATAAACTCTAACAATACATTTTTAACAGCTTTAGTGAGATAATTTACATACCATACAGTTCACCCATGTAACATGTATAATTCAATAAAGATTATTGCAATTTTACTGTTACGTTGGAACTCTGCTGTATTGAATATGGGTTTAAATTAGTGGGCTATTGGCCAAGGCCCAGAAATTCTCTCCTTAAACAATTTTTAAAAATTGCATTCAAATTTAATATTACAGAAAAGCTAACGAAAATGAAAAACGAAGAGTTGTTGCCAGATCACACACCACAATAGTCGAGGAAATATATTGTGTGTGGACTTAGAGCTCAGAATTTGGGATTTGTTTCTAAGTCTACCTAAAGGCCATAGTGTGGCCTAATAAATAAAATGTCAGCTTAAGCTTAATTCTTTTCTCCCCGAAGAGTTTTCAGACCAGAATGTGCTCTGGCTGAAGAGTTCCTGGTTACATAAGATGTTTACATACATGCTGTGTTAGTGGGAGATGATAAAGACAAAGTGACGCAGTGGGTCACTTCAACTTCGGGGAAAATGTCAGCAAGTACCTTTTATTGTAGCTACAATTTATTAGGAAGTTACAAGGTAAAATCTACTCCTTCAATAGAAGATTTTATATATTTTCACAGAATTTAGCAACATAGAAGCCAAAAGTAATTTTATATGTATGTGTATATACTTTTACTATATATGTGTATATACTATGTATACCTACATGTCCTCACACACCACAATATGACATATGTATTCATACACACCACACATACTTTATTTATGTATACATACTACATACACATATATGCACACAAGTACATAGGCACAACCAATGTTTATGTTCACACTTATCACATTTGTTTGTACATAGACATGGGGAACATGTAAATTCATTTATTAAGGTCTTGACTACTCTTCCTAATACTTAAAATAACTATAAAACTCATATATGCTTATTGTAGAAATTGGAATGTTCCAGTAGTACATGGAATAGAAGTGAAACTTGTTATCATTTCCTATGTGATTTCTAATAATATTTCCTCTCTTTCCAGAGGAAGCCACTACTTACTAGTAGTCTTTCAAGTTTCAGGTGTACAACATAGTGGTTAGGTAATCATATATTTTACAAAGTGGTTCCCATGATATTTCAAGTACCCGCCAGGCCCGTACATAGTAATTACAATATTATTGACTATATCCCCCGTGCTATACCTTACATCCCCATCCCCATGACTATTTTGGGGCTATCAATTTGTACTTCTTAATCCCTCACCCTTTTCACACAGTCCCCTGACCCCCTTCCCCTCTGGCAACCTACAGTCTGTATCTATGAGTCTTTCTATTTTGTTTGTTTATTTTGTTCTTCAGATTCCACAGACAAATGAAGTCTTATGGCATTTGTCTTTCTCTGTCTGATGTATTTCATTTAGCATAATATCCTCTAGGTCCACTGTGTTGTTGTAAATGATAAGATTTCATTCTTTTTTTATGGCTGAATATATATCCCATTGTGTGTGTATATATATATATATGTGTGTGTGTATATATATATATATACACACACACACCACAGCTTTTCATTTTCTATTGATGGGCCAAGTATTTTACATTTATTTAGATATTAATATAATATACACTTGTTAGGTTTAAAACGATAAATTGTTTATAATAATTCATATTTTTTGCCAGTTTTTAAAATTTAACATGTCACAGATATTTAAAAATAGCAACGTCATCATCTTTCTATTGACTCTATTAATGTATTTTTAAAAAGGGGATGAACACATACAGGGTGGGGCAAAAGTAGGTTTACAGTTGTTTGTATGGAAAATGTTCCAATGATTAATAAATAATAATACGAGAATAAACTCTGTGTTTCACATACTCACCACTGTAAACCTTCTCTTGCCGCACCCTGCACATGTGCACATGGGACCGGAAGGAAGTTCCTCGGACGGTTAGGGGCGGCCAAGTCTGGTGGGTGTGCTTGTACCTATTGTTTGGCTATTGCCGGTGCCCAGCCCGCAGGGCTCAGTAGGCATGGCATGCCTGCTATCATTCCTACTGCTAGAGCTATTAAAACCGAAGCAGAGGTTTTTAGTCACCGAAACGAAATGGGATGCAAGACGACAAGGATGCTGAAATTCCTAAAATCCTAAAAATAAACCAGAAGAATTGAAAAAATCAGTTATTGTGGGCCATTTACCATATTTCTATTAAGCAAATAAGTGGAGTTGACTTCATTGCTGAATAAGCATTGGTCCTGCTGGGCAATTGCATATTAGCCAAGCTGTGCTGGCGTCTGTGTGTGTGGCGGCAGCAGGGGGTGGGGGAAGGGGACAGTTGGTATGTTGTTACCAGCCTCCCCTCTTTCCACAGTTAGCCCGGAAAACTAAACCTTGTCTCCCGTGGTCTCTTAGCCTCTCTTCTTTCTCTCTGGGACTTTCTCCCTCTGAGTAGCCTTGAGGCCCCCACGCTAAGAACTTCCCAGGCCATTACCTACAACTGTTTATGACAACACCTGCTCTTTACTGCTTAGTTCTCCTGTCTGGAATGTCATACAAGCCCCACTTATAGTCTGTCCACAGCAAACGTTCCACAAACGCTGTTGACTGATTCAATGACACTGGGTCTTTGGTGACCTGCAACTGAACACATACCTCTTCCACGGGCCATTTACTGCAGTAGAATCACCTGCGGAGTTTTGGAACATCTTTACATCCTCTTAGCCAGCTTCTTGCCTTTACCCACTCTCCTACCCTGGGACCAAGTAAATCAGAGTCTCTGGAGAGTGGGTTTGTGTAGCTGGGCATTCTCACTGCATTGGCATGGAGCTGAGAACAACTGATTTAGATCATCATCATCTTCACTGATGTCAATCGATGATACTTCAAGGGTTTATTCCTAAGGGCCAGGCATGTTTCAAGCACTTAATGCATTATCCTGTTGATTCCTCCCCACTGGAAAGATGGTACCATCATATCCACATTTTGTAGAAGAAGTAGTTAAGCTTAACAGAAGTTTGGAAATGGACAAACGTCAGAGAACTATTAAATATCAGGATGGGGTAATTAGCCTGAACCCAACTCTACCTCTTAATTGTGACCACACTATGTGCTTCAGAATTTAAAGTGGCAGATTAAGCATTTCTTTGAAAATTCCGTTGTCCAGGAATCTTAATATAGACCATGCTTTACTGAAGAATCTAAGAAATTTGGGCACACTGGGGATATAGTATCTATTTCACAGCCTGCCTCTGTTAGAAAATACCACCAGATGGCAGCAGACACTGTATATTTAAAATCTCAAAGCCAAAACACAAAACACCACTGGGAAAAATGTCACAACTAGATGATGTGCTCAGTAGGAGCCTATAACTGGTAGTTTGGAAAGGATCATGTGTATTCGACTTTCCCCAGAAGCTATCAAAGGAGTCCCTCCCTGAGTGACTCCTGAGTGGGTCCTTCATTGGGCCTGTGCTGCTCTGCATTCTGATCTTGCTTCTGTGGAAACCTCCATCTTGCTGTGTTGTTCCATTTGAAAAGGTTTATTGTATTAATTGCCTCCTGAATGTCTAGCAATGTATTATGAGTTATATAAGGTGAATAAGAATTGGAAATCCAATTGAGGGAAACAAATGAAAATATGGGAAACACTTCAATATGTGGAAGTGAGATAGGAGAAGTTTTTCTTGTTCTTTGTTAGCTGTCTGATAATAGAATAATGTAGACTATTAAACTGACTGAATTGGAAAAAATACAATTTCAAGGCTGGAAGAGGTCGTACAGATCAGTGAGTGCCGTGGCTCCCAAAAGTATGGGCCCTGACCGGCAGCACTGGAACCGACCAGGAGCTTGGCAGGCCCACTCCCGGGCGCCGCCAGCCCCTCCTGAGGCTGAGGCTCTGGGGACTGCACCGCCCGCCCGTGTCTCAACAAGCCCTCCAAGTGACTCTTGCCACTCAAGTTTCAGAGCCACAGGTTATTGTGCCTCCCTTTCCCCTCAGCCAATTTTATGGTTTAAGAAACCGAAGTCTAGACAGACTAAGTGATTGCACTGGGACTACAGAGCAAACGTACCTTTAAGGAAGCCTCGCGCCTGGGCCGGCGGGGCTCCTTTCAGCCCCCATTCGCCACTGGCTGCAGCTATGAAATGTGGCAGGGGGTTGAGGGTTAATACCAGGGAGCACCCCCTAGGGGCTCCGAGCTGGGCAGTGGGGGGCAAGGCATTCGAGCTAGCTGGTAACCGAAGTGATTTTTTTTTTTTTTTGCAATGGAGCACATAAGGAGGGATTTGGGGCAAAGAAAGCTTTGAGTACGTCCAACCCAACTTCACTTCAACATCAGAAGAGTATTTGGTTTGACGGCAAATCTGGCGTTTTGGGATGACTATGGGTGACTACGAGAAAAGTTCAGGCATAGCTTTAGCATCAAATGGTACAGGTGATGCGAGAAACCGCTAGCCCGGTCCTTCGTAGGCTTGGTGTACATTTGAATCCCCTGGGATCTTGTTAAAGTACAGATTTGTATTCAGCAGCTGGCCTGGGATGAAGCCCAAGAGTTGGCATTTCTAACCAGTTTCCAGGTCGTGCTGACACTGCTGGACCCGGGACCTCTGAGTGGCGAGGGGAGTGGCACTGTGGACTCCTTCCTCCTCCCTTATCTCCAGCATCCACAGGTAATTGGAAATAGAGTTGCTTCCCAGTCTTCTTGGGTTTAGTGACATTTATCCCGGATTTTCAGCGCAAGTCTCATTTTCA